ATCACGACGTACTGGACCATGAGGATGAACTTCTTCAACCTACACAGCCTAAACTAAGCAGCAACCTTGCGAACTTCATCGTTGTTGCTATTCGAGCATGAATTTGTGGTAGTCATCCTCTGCCTGCTACCTTGTCTTAAACCCTCTTTGAAAGGAGATGCCTTGGTAACCTTTGACTTGCTCATTGCATGTTGGCCATGAACTGTATACTCATGGAATCCTACCTTTATACACAACATACCAATTCACCTCCAGATTGACATGAGAGCAACAAGTCAAGCAGCAAGCAAAGGAACACAACATGTGGAAGAAAAACAACATAGACATGCCTGATCAGATAACCAAAACACAACACAATTTCCTCCTAACTACTATGGTGTCATCCTACCACCATATCCAAAAAAAGGGTGTAATCCTACTACCGCAAGTTCACCATCACCATGAGGGATTAGTATGTACCACCACATCAAAATATACGGGCTAGCAACAATTTTCAAGCACTATCTAACTACCACAAAATATGCATCGTCATTGTCATTGTCGATCATCATGCATGACATAACCACCACTAAAAACAACAATTGTACTATTGCTTGCCCAGCCAAGTCCTACGACAAAGCACCCTATGAGCGTCCCCCGTCGCAATGAAAACCCAACACCTTATATTATGTCCTGTTGAGAGGTTCCACATGGACTTTTTCTGTGTTTTCTCTACTATTTTTACCAGTTTTCTTTTGTTCTTCTTTTAGTTCATTTTTTCCCTTTTCCCACTTTTTCCATTTTCTAAATAAATTTTGAGTTTTTTGGATTCAAGTTGAATATTGTATAGATGTTAAACATTTTATCTGAATACATGTGGAGCGTCTGTCACGTACATTGGATATTTTTTAAATACATGGTGAACATTTTCTAAATACACGACGAAAGTTTTTTAAGCTCACACTAAATATTTTCAAAAATGGCATGAATATCTTTTTTTAAACATGCAGACATTTTTTAAGTTTTATGAACACTTTTTAATGTCACACAAACCTTTTATATGCTATGAGAGTTTTCTAGATCAAAAGTTTCATCGCAAAAAAATCACTTTGTAAATGCCATGAACATATTTTTGAATGTGTGAATATTTTTTAAATGTCATGAACAAAATTTTAATGGTATGAATACTTTTTACAAAATGTGTGAACAATTTTTACATTTTGATGATTGTTTTAAAAACTTCATGAACATATTTTTAAATGTGCTACCATATGTGCCATGTCATGGAGAATTTTTTTTAACTGTAGAGCAATTTTTAAAACCTTGAGAGAAAACTTTTACATTCCACAAACATTTTTGTAATGCGTGGCGAACATTTTTAAAAGCTAGGTAAAGTAAAATATCCCATGTATCTATATGTTTAGATTTTTTTTAAATATAAATAGAAGTAAGAAAATATAAATAAAAGTAAAAATAAAAAACACACGCCTCGTGTTGGAAAGAACAGAACTCTAGAATGATGTACTGGGCCCAGTACAAATTCCCTTAAGCTGGGCCAACTCTATACTGGGTTTTGATAATTAAGGTTAACATATCTTAAGGACTATGCCAAAGTTCATGGGTGGATTGGGGTTCCGAGATACACATTTGTTCAACCTTGCAATGTTGGCCAAACAAGCATGGCGCCTAACTCATGATATTGAATCCTGAAGTGCCCGATTACTTAAGTCAGTTTAATATCCCTCTTGTGATATTCTGGAATCTGAACTAGGAAATCACCCATCACAGATTTGGCGAGCAATCTTTGAAGGAAAGGAAGTGCTTAAGCAGGGTTTAATCAGAAGAATCAGAGATGGGAAATCAACGAGCATCTGGAATCAGAATTGGATCCCTAGGAATTATATGATGAGAGCTCTTCACCCGAATAGTTCAAACCCTCTAGAGAATGTGGTTGAGGTGATAGATACTGTGGATAGGAGATGGAATAGGGATCGTGTGGAACAACATATGCAACCTATAGATGCTTCTGAAATACTTAATATCCCATTGTCATCAATCCCAATGGAAGATAGCTGGGCGTGGCACTATGAGCACAATGGCCTTTTTTTCTATGAGATCATGCTATAGAATGCTCAAGGAAACAAAGCGTAGAAGAGAAGGGTGGCTGGAGGGGACTGGAAACATGTCCGATTGGCAAGGAACAAAGAAGAAATGGTGTACTCTATGGGGCACTAGGATGCTAGCGAAACTGAAGAACCTTGCATGGAGACTGTCACATAACTCAATCCCAATAGAGGGGGTTCATTTCCAGCGACATATGTCTGATACAAATGTCTGCAAATTATGTAGTGGGGCCGTGGATAGCTGGAAGCATGCGCTGATAGAATGTCCGATGGCAAAGTGTCTATGGTCTCTGCTGGATGAGGAGCTCGTTGAGCATATGGTGGCCATTACAACAGATGATGCATGGTTATGGCTGATAGAACTGCAAGATTCTGCTTCGGATGAGCAATTTATCAAGGCTATTGTTGCTTTGTGGTCTATTTCGTGGGCCAGGAGAAAAGCAATACACAAACAACAGTATCAGTCGCCACTGTCAACCTGGAGTTTCATCAATAACTATATGGGAGATCTAGCGCTATTACCTTGAGAAACAGAAGCATATTGGTCAGATGCTTTAAAGTATCTCCAACGCTGACCCCCAAATTTTATTGGGCATCTGTCCGCGGATGGGTGACTAGTCTGCGGACGCTGATGCCGGAGGCCGCCATCCAACGCTGCCCACATAGATTTAAACCACATTTTAAACTAAATGGACCAAATTCATATGAACTTGCCGGATTTTGATATAAACCAGAAGATATTCAAGCAAACACGACAGATTTCATATAATCATGATGAAATTCGTTACATCTTGGACATACTTCAACTAAGTGTGAAGCTCATCCAATTCTGGAGGTATAATTTCGGACATACTTCTATTCTAAACGTAATCTAATAGCCGCCCCTCGTCCTCGTATCCAGCCATGAGCCCCGAGATCTGGGAGTTTTCGCTTTTTTCGTAGATACCTTTATTCAAAATGTTTTATCTTTTAAATAGTCCGTCCAAATCTTGAATCATTTTCATCGTTGTGTTTCTTGCGTTGAGATCTTTAAAACCAGATCCCATGTTGATAGGTTTTGATGAATTTTATTATTCATGAAAAATCCGGGCGAAAAAACTAGATGAAAAACTGAACCGGGAGCACATTTTTTCTCTTTCCGAAAGAGGCACTGCCGTGGCTCTCGCCAAAGCGAATCTGTGCCTCTTGCAGAAGGAAAAAAATATTTTTTTTTTGTTTTCGAGTTCCTCACAGAAGTAAATCCGCAACTCTCGTGGAACTAAATAGGTGCCTCTCACAGAAGGCAAAAAAACGCATTTTTCCATTTCTGAGAGATCATGGAAGGAAAAAAAGAAAACACATATTTTTTCCGTTTTCAGGAGGCACGACAATGCCTCTCGCGGAAGCAAATCCGTGCCTCTCGTGGAAGGAAAGAAAAATACATTTTTTTTCGTTTTCGAGATGCACGACTATGCCTCTCGCTTAAGGAAAAAAACACATTTTGATTCGTCGCGCCTTTCGCAGAATCAAATTTGCGCCTTTTGCAGAAGAAATGAAAAAGAAAACGTGGTTTTTTTGGTTTCTGAGTGCCTCTTGCGAAAGGAAAAACGTGTTTTTTCGTTTTCGAGATGCACGACTCGCGGAAGGGAAAAGAAATGTGTTTTTTTTTTCATTCCTGAGAGGAACGACTGTGCCTCTCTTGTTAGCAAATCCATGCATCTCATGGAAGAAAATAAGATTTTTTTTTCTTTTTGTTTCTAAGAGGCACGACTGTGCTTGTCGCGGAAGCAAATACGTGCCTTCTCGAGAAGTAAATTTTGTGCCTCTCGCGAGAGTAAAAGAAGAAAAAAAATGCGTTTTTCACGAGACTTTTTGTGTGTCCAAAACCTAAGGAAAGTCGGAGGAAACCAAAAAAATCCAGAAAAAAATCTAAACGCAGGAAACACGTGCGGAAAAACAACAAAATAAAAAAATTGAAGGAAGTATCCAGAGCGCGACACGTGACGGCGGCTGAGAGCGTGCTAAATGACGCACTCTCAGCCAACCCCAGGTGACCCTTGCAGGTTAGTTTTTTTTTAGACAATCACGCGAAGCTTTATTATATCGTCACCATATTTACAGGGACGGAGGGAAGGTTCCCCGGATGACCTAGCCATACATGACGGCCCGGAGCCAATCTTAAAGCATGCTTCGCTAGATTGTGAGCCTCGAAATTCGAGCTCCTACTTTCATAAGCTAGATTGTGACCCTTGCAGGTTAGTTGCTCGTATAGGTTCTAGTCGGGCTATGTCTGGGGCTACCGCCCCAGTTGCCCCAGGCCCATATCTGCCTCAGGAGCCCATCTCGCCTGTCGCTCCATTCTATTCATTTCTTTTCTTCAAATTGATCACAGCACCCCTGAGTTTTAGACAAACAGAGATATCACAGCAAGGCCATGTTCATTTCGTCAAGTTGATCACAACCCGTCCCCTTCCCAAACCTGATAACGAAAGTCAGCTACTTCGATAATGTATTTGCAGATTCCCGTAGCTGGATCACCACTTGGAATTTAGTGGGCTACTCTCCAAAATTGGAGGCTTGAACCCTTCCGGGTCCGCGGCTGCACGTTGAACCTTGTGCGCTCGGTTATCTTTTCCCGAAAGGCCATTGCAGACCGATGAATAGTATATACTTTAGCTATCGTGCGTACCGGTAGGTGATCGTGCATATACAAGGAGTATAACTCATCCTCTTGTGTTTAAACAGTCGTTAAACGCTGATCGTGCATGTCATTACATGCGTTGTCATTAGAAATTTATGTACTTATTAGCTGTACATGAGACCAGAAGGTTTATGCCGGCCAGAGTGACAGGAGTTTATAAACCCAGGATGAGTCCATGTGCATCCATGATCCATCCATAGCCAATACTGTCCATAGCAATGACACAATTAACCATCTCGGCGGCGACGATGGAAGCAATAGCCGCAGCAGCGGCACTGCTGATGCTGTTGTCCACTGGGCCATCAGTAGCAGCCGGTGATCCAAGTCCGCTGACGATCGGGATGCCCAACTGCGTCACGTCGTGCGGCTACGTGAACGTGCCATACCCGTTCGGCCTCGGCACGGACCCCAGCTGCTACCTGCCGGGCTACAACCTCACCTGCGACACTACCCCCGGCGACGAGCGGCTGCTTCTCGACGTCGACGGCACTTTCCAGGTCCTGTATATCGGCAACAGCTTTTTATCGGTTTTACGCCAAGGTGACATAAAAATTCATTTGGACGCCGATGGCAATGGCAAGGGCATGCTCAGCTTCGGCCTTAGGCACGATGTGCCCTACACTCTCGCAAGGTTTGGGGAGAGCGAGCTCATCCTGACAGGATGCAACGTGCAGGCGACGGTGAAGAGCGGCAACATCACCGTTGCGAGCTGTACCTCGCTCTGCGATAGTTCTGGGTTTGGACCCATAACATATGACGGCACCGTGAGATGCTACGGCGGCACAGGCTGCTGCCACGGAGAAATCGTCATCAACGACCACGAGAATGAAGCGAACAGCAACATCACATCCGGCTATGACGTGCAGCTGACATGGTTGGGTCATGGGAACCGTAGCGCGGACCTCGAGCTATTCCCCATGCGTGTTTTCATCGCCGATATTCAGTGGTTCGCCGACAGCTTCATCTCTGAAGATCTGCTGCAGACAAGTGTACCACCGTCAGAGGATACAATGGCAGTTCCCCTGTTTCTGAACTGGGAGGTTGTTGCCGACCGCCGCCACTGCAATAGCAACCACAGCGAACGCACGAATACAACAAAAGGCTATACATGCAGCTGCGAACAGGGTTTCGATGGCAATCCCTACCTCATCGACGGATGCAAAGGTACATACTAATCTCTCATGTTTTAATTTGGACGCTGATAATGCCCACACGTGTAGTGGGAGCGACACCTGTCCACACGCCCTATAACACACAGATTGCATCAATGTCACCGCATGCATACATGTGGGAATCTTTTTGGATTTCCAGTTTTTAAAATCTTTTATCTCTTAAATAAAAAATCCGATTGAAGATTCATTTTCACCATTAAATCCATCTCGACGAGATCTTCGAAATTAGATCTCATATCAATATGTTTCGACGATTTTTTTTGGGCCATGTTGTTTACATTGAAGTTGTCATGATATGTCTCAGCTATTTCTTCTACATTTAAAAGTAAATTTTGATATATTATAAAACAGAGAATTAAAAAACTAGACTTGTCATGAACCATAAACTAAAATTGCCATGATACATGCACTTAAAATTGCCATGGTTCATACAAAAAATAATTTTCATGGTCAAATTACTGGAAGTGCCATGGTCAAAATACTAAAATTACCATGCTCTATAAACTAAAATTGTCACATGGCAACTTTAGTGTAAACACTATGACAACTACAGTGTAAACATCATGGCAACTTTTCGTCAATTTTTTTTCATCGAAACATATCAACATGTGATCTAGTTTTGAAGATCTCGTCGAGACGGATTTAATTGTGAAAACGGATTTTAATTGGATTTTTAATTAGAAGATAAAACATTTTTAAACCAAAAATCAAAAAGATACCCGCTAATGTCATCTGTTTTGACATGGCAAATATGAATGGTAATGGATGCGTTTGGGCCATGTTGCTTCGTGCCACACATGTGGGCGTTAACATTTGCATTTAATTTTGCTACTTGGAGACGAGACAAGCACTAACTACTATAGTGGGCATGATGGTATTGTGTCCTATGTGTCTCTAACTTCTCTTCGTATTAAGTTATATATTTTTTGTGGCGGTTTTTCTTATTTTTTTCTTTTAAAAAGAGAGCAACCTCTTAGATTTTCCATTAACAGAAGGGTGTGGCAAGATCTCAGCTGTTTGAGACTCAGAATTTTCATTGTTCCCGAGTTCTTTGCTCTTTGCTGAGTACTGGAACACGGGATCACGATAAATGGTAAGTAAGCCGAGTGTGGCTCTCGGCAAAGAGTAGCACACGGCACACGCTCGTGTTTGCCGAGCATCTACTGCAAAGGGCTCGGTAAACAAACAACACTCGGTTTACTTTTTATGTATATGCCGAGAACCTTCTCTATGGCACTTGGCAAACAAGTGCCAGGTGACGTTGCCGTTTGCGCTTGACGGCTCCGTCACATATAGTCCACCTATGTCGAGATTTGCCGTCAAACACTCAGCAAACTATGTACTAAAATACTTTTTCCCTCACATTAATTATTTGCTGAGCTCCCGCTCCATAGCACTCGGCAAAGTATTTAAGTAATTTCTTTTTCTCCTATGGCATATATCTTTGCTGAGATCTCTGTCTCACTACTCGGCATACTATAGCCAGGTCATGCCATTTTTCCCGGGTACCTTAGTTCTCCGAAAAAACTGTCAGTGGCAGTGTAGCTCAAGCACCACCTTTCCCAAGTACCTTAGCTCTTGGAAAAAAGCTGCCAGTGGTAGTGTAGCTCAGGCACCACCTTTGCCGAGCTCCGCACTTGAGAAAGGCTGGCATCACCGACTGTTGAACTCAACAAAAAGTAACTACACAGTGCAGATCTATCTATTCTGTCCTAAATCCTTACAATTGACATACAACACATATATGTTGTTTGACATAATATCACAACACATAGAGCACGCAACACATATATCACATCATTCTAGCTCAGAGTAACATCATATACAAATTAAACTCATATATCCTAACAAGTTCACAACCATAGCTCACGACAAGTTCAAAGCATAGTTCACTACATAATCCATCAACGAACACAAAACATAAGACACCACCACTTTGCATCTTCAGTACATAGGAGGAGGACGGTTGTTGACACATCACGACGATTCTTCAGGAGGAGGGGCAGGAGGGTGTCCTCTCATAATCAATGCCCACATTGCCTGTAACCCCTACGGAGGAAGAGGGTCGACATGGCAGCATTGTTCAAGTTGGTCAATCAGTTAATTTGGATAGGGGTCAATATGCAAAGTACTAATTGCTAAGTTTTCTGAGATCTTCTCCCTTTCTGCATTTTCGACCTTCATCCATTCCTCATGTTCGGTCGCCTCCTTCAGTCTAACCTCCACTTCATCTTGCAACTGTGTCTCCTGTTCGGCCTTGTTTCTTCCAGTAGTGACTTAACCAAGTCTCAGTCAAGTGACACAATATATAAAAAGAAGAAACAAATTTTTTTGCACGGATCTCCGTGTAAGACCTCATGAATATAACATCGACTGAGATTTTGTTATGTCTCAGTCGACTGAGTCATAGCAATCCCGTTAACAGAAACCATAATGTCTGTACAGCTACCAAAGGAAAAACCCAACCACAAGATAAAAGGAACCCCAACAGAGACCCTTGAGGCGATTCCCAACTAACAAAAACAAGACCAGCAAAACGAAAATCTCTAGACCCCACTGAGATCCCACAAGAGACTTGGTCTCCAATGAGGTCAAAACATAACATCCTTCCGATATAACTTGCCAAAATTAAGAAGGTTCACTAGAGAACATCAGGGAAACATGCAGAGAGTGCGCCTTCACAGTAGCATCCGTCAAGATAGATCAAAGCTTCTGCTTTTCCTTGTCACAACAAGTCAGCCCGCCATTATCCTATTGGCTCCAACCCTCCATCCATGCACTGATTTCCTATTTTTTTCTAGGTTTGTCTGTAAAATATTCCATTCATGAAGCCATTTTAGAATCACATTCACTGGAACACAAGGATCATCAACCTGTTGTTATCAAAGACAATTATATTCCTCAATGTTCACAAAGACCAAATGATTGCAAAAATACGAACCAACACTAACCATCTCTCATTCTTGTTAAATTTCTTTAACAGAGAATTAAACAGATCATGCACATTATCAGAGATGGCAAATAGATTAAAATCACATTTCATGATATTCCGCATCATTCTTGCAATAGAGCAATGGAAAAAAAAGTGACTAACTGTTTCTAATCTACCACAAAAGGGCATTTTGTACCACCATTCCACCCTCTACACAACATATTATATTTAGTAAGTACGCTATTTCTCAGTACCAGCCACGTAAACACTTTAACTCTTGGAGGCATTTTAACTTTCCACAAGAATTTATGTGGATATTTAACCCCATTTTCATTCAAAAATCTGAAATTTGGCTTCATTGTGTAAATCTCATTCCTAGTTAAGGTCCATTTAATGGAATCCTTCTGCTCATCCAGAACCACAGAGGCGCATGCTATATGGTTCTTCAATGGATCATATCTTATTGTTGTATATTGTTGATAGGTTTGGTATCAGGCTTACCACGCGATTATTGTTGCATATAAAAGCACTCTCATTTAATGTATTTATGAGAAGCCTATGTGAGGGCGTTCTTCTTAGTGCATGTCTTGTGCTTTTTATTTCGTTGTCATCCAGTTTGTCTGACTTTTCTTTAACCTGCTTTATAAGAGGGCTTCATCAATATCATGTATCATTCTACGAGTAGCTTTATTTATAAATCAGGAAGAAAACATAGTAAGTACGCTATTTCTCAGTACCAGCCACACTTGCGCTCTTATCGGTTGGGCCTTTGTACTCCACCGCCGTTCCTAGCACTAGTGCGCCACTGTCGTTCCAGACCTGCCAATCCATGCTCGTTGCCATGAATCATCAGGAATTAATGAGCAATCCCAATAATGATTGAAGCTATATAATGTAACAACAAAAATTCAAGTTATCCGATTTCATTTACATTAGCACTATAAAACTGATGGATTTACCTTTGTGTTACGGTTCTGAAACTAAACACGTCCATAATGTAGATGTGCTAAGGGCTCTTCTCTAAGAACACATGGCATGTTGCTCACCCCGAGAGGGAACACGTGTACACATGTGACAACCCATAACTGCCGATGCAACACTACACTAGAAGAATTGATCGTTGTTCCAACATCGCCGCCACAAATTACCACCACTCGATTGACCCGTGAGTTTAAGATGAAGAAGCATAGCCTTCAAACTTCCTCCAATCTAGATCTACCTGGGAGGGAGAAACTGCAACCGCTAACCACTGCTCAAGAATTCGTCTGAATAATCAATCAATGAGCCAATTAATCACTACTTGTACGGTGACCGACTCGAACAACACTATTCGCCATGTTAACTTGCCAGACCGATTAATTGGCCTATTGGGACGATTAATCACCGCTAGCCCATTAACTCGCGGGCACACCGAACCCAATTATTTGCCTCGTAACCCTTCCCATGCCCCTCCAACTCCTATATAGCTAGGATTCGTCCCTCCTCCCGCCCCCTGTCAGACCTCTCATCCCCTCCTGATATAGATGGTGGCTGGCCAGGTCCACATCCGTGTGCCACCACTTCGCTGCCTCCCCTATGTGTTGTTGCTTCCTCTCCTCCCTCTACGCGCCACTACTTCCCCACCTCCCTTGTGAAATGACACCTCTTGCAACCGCCACCTTTTAGACACCTTACACTGCTGCCGCCATCTCCTCTCTACGTGTCTCCATGGTGCTGCCGCTGCCACTCCTCTCAATTGCTCCCCTAGGCGTGCCTCCTCGAAGCTTCTTCCCCCAGGTGGGCCATAGTCGATCCAGTGCCGCCTCCTGTCTAGACCATGAGTGCCGTAACGTCCACCCATCGCGGTCTCCCGATAGGCACCGCCATGCCCCCTTGACGAGCCTCCTCCCTGGCTCGGGTTGGCCACTCGAGTGACAAGCTCTCTCAACAAAGCTTTTCATGCCAGCCTATCCAGGAACCATCGTGAACCTTCTAACTCTCCTTTATCCAGGAACACATCGACCACAACCAGCAGGCCACCTTCTCAACTGCTCTTCTTAATGGATTTGCACGTAGACTTAATGACGATGTCATTAACACCATCTCGCAAAAAAGCCGGTAGTTGACACTACTAAATAGATCGAGAACCTACATTGGCTTTCACAAAGGCGCCTTAACAACGAGTCGCAATGGTGAAGAAGGGCCTAGAATGAAGAACACAATATATCAGCCAATTTATTGACCTCCCGAGAAAGAGTAATACTCCAATGAGAGGTGCACCTCTTCTCTAGGCACAATCATCGATAATGTTCTCATCAGTTAATTCTTGACTAATAGGTCCACCAAAACATTGATCTGATAAACATTGTTACAAGAAGGGATAGAAGAAACAAGATAATGGCCACCCATAGAACGTCCCACCGCACACAAAGGAACTCCACACCGTGGATCTGAGGGCAATAAATCCTCCAAATCCCTCCAATATGACATCCGGAAATGAGCAAAAGGACATGGAGCAAACCCGCAAATCAGATCCGATTTATTCGAGAAGTAAAGTAACCTAATTATAAACAACATAAAGTCATGATTCATAGGTTTCTACTCACAATATATAGCTGATCTTGGTGCTTGGGAGCTCAAAATTTGATTTCGGCCAAACTTTAGGAGTTATAGGTTTACTTTTCTTTCTATTGTATACCAAAGACACCACTCAGTAGGTTTTTGCTAATTGGGTTCTGAGCTGTATGACTAATGGCGTACTTGTTTCAAAGCTTTTGTGATTACAATCAATGTTTGAACATTTTGGGTTTGTTCTTGTCTGGATGCTTGTATATCTCTCTTTATTGATAAACTAGCTCCCAGTGTAACATCCATGTTAAACCACATGATCTCTAAAATAGTAACAAATCAGATTGACTGATTGAGTTAGTTATAAATCTAATGCCTTGGATCATAATTTGACAAGATGTTTAATACCGAGAAACATGTTCTGTGAATAGATGGAACTTAAAAGAATCTTACGTCAACACCGATGATAGGAAACTGCCCTTTCTTCAAACCATCGGTAGTGTTCTCTCGCACAATTTATTCCCTAGGCACCCTAGAGAACTAGACAAAAAGCAGTGTTTGAGGTGAAACGACGTGGTGACATAGTGATGGTCGGTGACGATGTTGGTGCATGTTCATGGTGCGTACATCAGTATAAGGAGACCTCTGGCAACTCAAAATGGCGACACTCATTCACTGAGCTCTCCGCAAATGCATCCGCATCGATCCAAGCCTACAACTATGAGTTCACCAAGGATATGGTTAAATTACCAGGACGTGTAGTGTTTTTTTTCTCTCATAATGTGGCTACATTTTTTGAGGGAAAACGTGGCTACATATTGATGCACTAGTAAAGATGTCCAACAATTTCGCCCACGTATTTTGGCTAACCATGGCCAATGATTTTTTTTTGCTTGGATTATTGAGAAAATAATATGTAATTCAATGATGGGCTTGATTTCACTAACTAATCAAGCTTATGTGATAAGATTTTTTTCCAGCGTACAAGTTATTATACTACCATGAAACTCATGTGGAAAATATGATCAAAACAATGGAAATAAATGAGTAACGTGATGATATCTTAGAATTTCGTACATATTACCAGCAACACCGCACCGTGTAGTCATGCCATCAGTATTGAACTATTATCGATGTACATTCTAGAATATATATTTTTGTCTTAAGATAATACTTGTCTGTTATGGGTTTTCACCACTATTTGGGATAAGTTGTCTTTGTATGTGCGCTTTTGTATGAGAGATAAATCAGTTTGTGGTTTCTTTTGCTTGACTATTTACATGTTGTATGTGCAGTTGTGAGTAAGTGCAATGGGTTCTCTGAGTGCTACGGTGAATGTATAAAAAAAAGGATGGATCCATGACGTGCCGGTGCCCCCCAGGAACCATTGGTAACTACGCTATACCCGGTGGCTGCCTTGCTATTGTCGCTGACACAGGTGAGCAACTTGATTTTGGAGTTTTTATGCCGACCTTCTTCGTCTGTAATTCTTTATGCAATAAAACTTGGCGGGTGGCTCCTTCAATGTTCATTAATTAATGCGTTCTCCATGACACAAGTGACTGCACGGTCTGTATAGAGCATTTCGTGCCGAAAATTGCCAATGGTGCATGGGCACCTTGGTGCGTGTAGAAAAACATTTTCTACAATGCAACTTTTAAAAAAATTTATAAACACAAAAAGACACATGTATAATACGTATGAGAAAATTTTCATAATGTTTTTGGGCCTCCTTTGGTTTGTTTTTCGGCCAGAATTTTTTTTACGGCTTACAAATGACAGCTTTTCAAAACAAAATGTCATTCATCTATAATGAACACATACTAGTTTTCATATAATTTTTATGGTAAAAAAATTGATCTGTAATGAACACATACTAGTTTTCATATATTTTTTCTCTTTTTTTACTCCTAAATATGGTTTTTTTTCTTCAAAACAAAAATGAGCATCATAACTTCGCTCTCATTTCCTTCCATCTATTCTTAGGGGATTAAGGGTTCACGTGGTCCTCGAAAGGCTATATCAGAATATTAGTATTTATCTATGAGTAGGGCATTTTGAGGATGAACTCCAGCCACATAGCTTGCTTTTTGAAAAAAAAGGAAAAATCATTTTTAGTTGTTTTTTAGTAAACCCATGCACGTTCATATTGATGTGTTTAACATGTGTGTAAAGTATGATAATGAAATGTATTATTGTGAGAGCTACACAAAAAAGACAAGTTCAAGCCTTTTTTATATTAAATAGTACGTGTACTACTGTTCACCATTTCAAACGCACTATTTTCTCTTTTTTGCGTACCTCTCACCATAGTATATATCATCTTTACATACATGTATTATACATCTGTATGAACACGTGTGATCTTTTTTTAGATTTTCAAAACTTCAAAACTGAAATTTCTAAAAAATAAAAAATAAAGGGCTCTGTGGAGCTCGTCCTCCACTTAGCATTTCGTTTATCTATCTATTATATAATTATTAAACGCAGGGCAAACAATACAAGACATTAATCCACATTGACTAAAAATATCTAATCCATAGATTGTAAATTTTAACAATCTAGATTTAAGAGTTTACATATATAAGTACGTCCCAGTTACGAACACGCGATCGATTGATTCCTGTTCACGTGCTTATGCACGTCGTGTGCTTTGTGCAACTTGGAGAAGGAGTCCAGGAGATACACGTTCTACCGTCGCAAATCAAGTAATCCTGAAGACACAAGACCACTGGCACTAATCACCCGGCCTGGGTTGCATATAGTGAGTCGCATATAATATGTCTTTCCTTTCGTCCAGCCGACTGAGTTGCATTAGCCGTTCCATCACGTGCACCACAAGTCGGCCCGTGTCTAGCCCAGTCCGGTTCACCGAGTTTGGGACTCGTCGAAGGTTTCGCCGAGTTGATTCACGGCTCTGCCGAGTTCTGTCGAAACTCGACAACGACGACGATTCTAGTAGTGAGGTGGCCGTCATGGAGTACATGCTATGAAATGGAACTACTCTATAGAGGCACGCATGTGCTCCCAAGAGCCAAGTTGGATTTCCACAGACGTGTCTTTGTCTCCTGCTATTAGCTGCATGAATGCATGATTAGTGACAATAGGCCAGGATGTACACTGATTGTGTCAACTATGTGCATTCGGTTTCGATGGTTCGGCTTATACGGATTTTTGGTTTGGATGATATAAATACTCCAATAAATACAGCATGAAATTAAGACACAGTTCCGTTTTGGTACATACCAAATTATCTCGGTATGGTTTTGGTATATATACCAAAATAACCAGAGTTGCCCTGAATTTGAAAATGACATAATAATAATTTACAAATTGATGACTCTAAACATACTTTTTTATATAAATAGTATACAACTATATATAAGTATATGCCTGGATTCATGTTTTGATGGTTATGGACGTGCTTATAATTTTTTAAGAAAAAATGATTGTGTTACAAGAAAATGGATATGCTTAGCAGGGAATCTGGCTCCTGTACAAGAAAAATGAATACTTGTATGGTTGTTCACCTCAAGAAATATAAATATATTGTTTACTTCGGTTTATTCGGTTAACCGTTTGCTTTTGGCATATACCAAACCGAAATTCAAAATAGTATGAAAAGTTCAAACCGTACTAAAAACATAACCCATAAAAACCGTAAAAATTGGTTCGATTCAGTTTATTTTTGGTATAATTTTTTGGTTCAGTTTTAGAATTCACAAAGTCCACATGATCCATTTGGATGTACTTTGCAATAATGGTTATATATATAGTAACACAATATAAAAAATTTAGTATCACAATAAAGGTACATACCCTAGTAAAGGTACATACCAAATATAGTAACACAATATAAAAAATTTAGTATTTTTTGTCAAAATGTATTAAACTGCAAATTCAGGTAGTAAAAATTATTTTGTGAATTACTACATTTTATACACCATTTTACTTTATTTTGTATATTGCGTTAATGGGGGTGTAGAATAAGCTATTCTACACTAACACTTAAAATAGCGTTATATATTACCTCCTAGCCGTTAGATGGTGACTTGAACTATGATGCTATCGTTGACTAGTGGGTAAACCCGTTATGAGTATATATATGGTAGTAAGAAAAAGTAAGGGCAAGCATGCGTGCATGCATGGAAACTATTCATGGTGTTAATACTAATGGATACTCATCAATGCATAAAAGTTTCAAAGGTATAGGGAAAACACTTCAAAAGTAAAATGGTAAAAATTGTTGGAGGCATGTGATACTCATACCTGTTATTATATTACTCGAGTATCCATACCTCAAATACATCTCTATTGGGTAATGTTGTATAGTTCTTCATATCTATAGTAATGTAACATATCATCTGTCGAGGTATTTACTTTATGTTCATGTATCCAGCTATCAAAAGGTAGTTTCATTTATGGGTATATATAAATAAATTTCAAATCGAGGTATGTACATACACATAGATATTTTGAGTATGCATTTTTTCAGGGACTTCAGTATGCACCAACAGATATCATAGTTGGGTATTCAACATTCGTTTTGTTTAGAATAACAAAGGTATATCCATTTTTTATTAGGTATAATACCTCGGCTATGTTTACATGCCTTGGGTATATGTATATTTTCATTAGGTACAATACTTCTAGTATGTGTGTTTTTTCATTAGATATAATGGCCCCGGGTATGTGTATATTTTCATTAGGTATAATACATTAGTTCTATGTATTTTTATTAGGTACAACACCAACACGTATATACTTTTATTAGGTCTAATAATATGTACACATGGTATCTGTTATTAGACCGTAATATTAGGTATAATACCCACCAATCGATATCACATATCACGGCCTAATAACATAGTCATTAGGTATAATACCCACCAACTATGATATCATAGTCTAATAACATCTACACGTGGGTATCTCGGTTACATGTAGCACCTATTAAAAATCTGACATGTATGGGTATATATAAAGAAAATTCACATCGAGGTATGTACATACAGAGAAATATCTTGAGTACACACTATTTTTTGCAGGGATTTGTATACACTTCAAAATAATTGACTACGTTTGTAGGTATCGAAAGTCTAGAATAAATTATTTGCTATATATGTACCCAAGTATGAGGGTTCAGAGTATTTTAACAAGACTATAGTAAATTCTTAGAAAAATAAATCCTTAATGAGGCAATCAATCACATGCATTTTGTTTTGGAAACCAATATGCAATCATTGGTCGTGAGTATTGTGCATGCAAGCAGAAAATGGAAAGAACAATATTTGGAAGACACTAGTGATTATTTGTATGTAGGAAATTTGTTAACGGGTTGGATCGGAGCCCAGGCACCTAGGTGCCCCACATAATATATAAATAAGGTGGCATAAAATTTCATAAATAAAATACATTTGAAATACAAATAGTTACATTCATATAGATTCACTGCATAAAATTTGGCATAAGAAAAAAAAGTTGTAAGACCAGAAAAATTGCATTTTATGTACATTTTACACTATGTTTTTACATTTGTAATTTTACATAATATAAAATATTTTTACGGTGATTATACATATTCTTACGTTCTCTTTTTACGACTAAAATAAGACAAAATTTACGGAAGGTAAAATTACGATGCATTGATGTTAAAATAGAGAAGGGGTGAAGAATAACTATTCCTCATCCACATATATATTCGTACTCCTTTGATCCATATTAATGGTTGCAGATTTAGTCAATTAATATTATACTAAATCGATGACTCAGTGAAAATTAATATGGATGAAAGAGGTCACTTATGAAAGCATGGAGAACTGCATATGTGTAAAAATATAACAGTGTTAACATATCTAAAAACTAAAGCATGATGACAAATTTGTTTCTGCACATGTATTATTATGGTGGTTGGGGGTGAGTAACTAGGAAGGAATCAAACTTATAATGAACAAGAACAATAAGAGGGTCTATGTGCCTCTTATATTAAAATACAACTCCAGTTCACATTTAAATTCAAAAATATTATCAACTATATTTGGAAAACCCATTATATATGAAATCTATAACTATATCAAATGGTAGAAAATTTATAACTATATCAAAATGGCAGTTCACATTTAGCACTATATATTAAATTTATAACTATATCAAATGGTAGTAATTATCACATGAACATGAATCAATCGATCGCATGTTCGTAACTGGGACATACTTATCTATGTAAACTCTTAAATCTAGATGGTTAAAATTTACAACCTATGGATTAGATATTTTAGTCAACGTGGATTAATGTGGTGTTTTGTTTGCCCTCTGTTTAGTAATTATATAATAGATAGATAAACAAAAATGAATAACTGAGGA